AATGTGGGAAATATTTGCAGGTCATCCACCATTTGATGATAGAGCTCACAATCATCGTTTGATTTTTGATATATGTGAAGGTCTACGACCACCAATATTACCTGAAATGCCATCTGATTATGCACAAATGATGCAAAGGTGTTGGGATGTGGATCCATCAAAAAGACCAACTAGTAGAGAGCTGTTTGATTTTTCTGATAATAAAAATAAGGAAATTGTCAAAAATAAAAGTTTAACAAATAAGAGCTTAAAAAATAATAGTTTAATAAAAAGATTATTCAAATTTTCTAAAATCAAAAAACATGAAATTGATTTTAGTAATAACAGCAGCAACAGCAGTGGTGGTAGTGATTTGCAACAAGTACACAAACCACATCCAGATGCATATCATACAAGTAGAATATTAGATGAAGAGATTGCTAAGTCTAAGAGCTTGAAAAGTTATACAAGTAATGATAGTTCGTTGAATAATCTTGATTTTAACTCTTTTCTCTAGAATATTAAAAAACGTCAATAAAAATTTTATTATTAATAATTGGAAATTACTATCCGTTAATTATTACTAACAATACAATATTAATTGATTAATTAATTAATTAACATTAGATTCTAATGATAATTGGTCAAAAGAAAGAATCAATTTAATCTTCACTATAAATTTATTTTCATCTTTTTATTTATCTTTTTATTTTATCATTATTTTGTTTCTCAAAGCTAATATAATAATGTTTTGAAATAATAAACTTTTTACAATTTTTGATTCTTGTTAAATGGTGATATTGCGAGGTATCATTTTGATTAATTAACAATTATGGTTTAACTTTTGGGCTACTCTTATCAGTTAATTATAAATAACTCAATTAATTAGTTTATGAGCTTACTCTTTCTTGCATCAAGACGAATCTGCGAGTCCAAACCTTTGCTTACTCACTAAAGCAAATAAACGTGGCTTTTTACCAAAGCTTACAATTGTTACCTTTTATCAATGCACTAACTACACTTGTTGCTTTTATCAAAGTGCTTTAAACAAAGAGAATAAGTACAGTTTTTATTATTAAAAGTTTATTAATGATTAATTTTAATAAAAACAATGATTCTATTGCAGAGACTTAGAATGTTAATTATCTATTGTTTTTCTTTGCGAGGATCCGTAGTTATTCTTTTTAAGGAAAGACCAGAAGTTATCCTTAATGGAATTTTCATTGATCACTACAATAAGGACAAAGATAAAGATTGTTTATTATTGCAAAGTAACTTAATCAATCAATCATAAAAAACCTCCATAATTATTTACAAAGTAATTTGATAATAATTATAAAAAGCTAATAAATTGTTGGCCCTGAAACATAAACTGCCGAATCCTTAATTGATGATATAATTTACCCGATCATGTATATAGTAATTGTATTTAGCAATAGAAAAACTTAGCTCCTTGGGAACAACTGATGAAACAAAGGAAGATTGGAATACACAAAAAAAATAAAAATAAGTCCTTGGAATATATACTTGCAAGTCTTTTTGTGATCTTTTATATTTTGTTAACCTTTAAAGCAATTTTACTTGCATCATTTTTGACTTAATGGCAACGAATTTGATGTAATAATTTTACAACTTTGATAATATTTCATTAGTAGAGGCTGTACGGGAAATCATGTCCACGATCAAAGGTCCATCACGAAAAAGAAAATACAAAGTATCCATGAAAACAAAATTAAAGATACCTAAACTAGCGAACCTAGCAATTGAAAACGCTGTCAACAATGACGAGTGCAGTACTCGATCTCAGATAACAACAACAACATTCTTTAATTGTTGCGATTCGGTTTGTTATTTTTTTATGTGCAATTTTTATTAAAAAATAAAACAAAATAAAATTAATGTAATTATTTTCTTTGTTTTTTTATATTAATAAAAAATCTCGTGACGGGTTTTCATGCAATTGAGATGATGGAGAGAGGAAAACGACCTCAAGTCATTTTTCACATTGTCAATTACCTAAACCTCTGAACCTTGCAATTATAAATAAACAATAAATATAAATATGATAAATCCGCTGGATTATTCAAAAAAAAACAAAAAAATTAATCATTACAAAAACATCCTTTTCATGCTCACCAAGTGTTAAATCTTGAGTCTTTGCAAGATGATGAAAGTGTTTTTGAACCTCCTCCCAAATCTGACCCAGTTGCTCCACTTAATGATATGCAGACTGCCCCCTTGCTTAAACAAACCTACAATCTATTCCCATTTGGACGCCTTACCTAGAGTATCTGTCTGCTAAGATCAACAAATCTCTGCTCCAGACAAATTTATGTCGCTCATTGAGACGATCAATTCTCTTTCAAAAGAAGCAATTATGTTAGTCAATTAATAGTTAGAGTAGGTACATTCCAGAAAAACCATTATAGTGGCAATCATCTAAAGACATCATCAAATGTTGCCAATCTTTAAGTGCTGATACTTTATTAAATATGGGTTATTTTACCAAAAACTCTCTATTTTGCAATATTCTAGACATGAAAAATAATGTAATAAAAAGTTTTTTTTGAGTTATTTAATTAAAAAAAGTTATAATGGTTTAAAGTTGGGTAACTTTGCTATTTTATTTGAAATTTCGGCAACTATATATCAAAACTGTAATTTACAGATTATTTACCAATTATTCACGTGACAAAATCACAGATCTTTTACAAATTTGGATTTATTTTATATCGATATATTAGATTCTTTATAAAGCAAGATCAGCATAAAAATTTTCGGCAAGTGGCACAGCACGTAATGTCTTTAGATGATTCGCACCATACCTATTCATTTATTATGTGTGTTGCAATAAAATAATATTTTGATGAAGGGCTGTGCCCTTACTAAGAATTAATGCAATAATTAATTATCAATTTTAAGTTTAAAAGTGTGGGGCTCACCACCTTTTCAAAATCAGAACCGAATTTAGTGTTGTAAAACGAAAGCAAAAATTGCACGAAAATAAAATCAGAACAACACGGAAAATCCCATTCAAGAATTTGATAAACAATTATCAAACTCACGGGAATTATCAAGAGAGTAACATTTCCTTCAAAATAAAGGTTTGTTTAATTTTACGGAATACTTTAATTAAATCAAATCAAGAATTTAGAAATTGGGAAACTAGATTGAACCTTTATCATATATATACAAATAATATTGTGATTTTCTTTGAAAAATAGAAAATCGATAGTTAATTAATGACCAACCGTCCTTAACCTTAATCTCGTCCTTGTTTATTTGTCCTTCCTTGTTTTGGAATTGTGTATTTTCGTAATGATGATAATAAGCCTATCTCTGACAATGAATTCATAATAATTACATCTATGTATAATTAATTTTTCTCTTATTTTATATTTGTCTCTGATTTTTATTATTATTTTTTATTTCTTTTCTTTAATGAAGTAATATTTAATCAATCTTATTTAGCAATGTACTTGACTTGAATAAGGAGTAACAGCACCCACCAAGAAACGTGGTTAGGACGTAGTGTGATTGTTTAGTATTGCTTAGCAAGAAATTGTTTAACGATGGTGAAAGATAGTTTGTATTTGTGTAAATTGTTGTTGCAATTTAGTATAAAACATATTGGAAGAAATTGTATTATTTTATTATAAACGTTAAAACATGGTTGAAACTTGGACACAATCTCGCAACATACATTCATATATACATTTTAGTATTTTTTTTTGTGACGAAAAATTTGATAGATGATGAAAAATAGAAACTGGTTGCAACCAGTTTTAAATCGATTGTCAAACTTCAGTGTGGGGGAAAAGGGGTATATTAATATAAACAATGCTTGCTAATCACACTTTTTGTATTACATCTTTTTTCTTTTTGTTAAATTAGATTCAGACTTTTTTTACTAATTAACATTTAACATAAAAAAAAACTTTTAATAATTGAAGAAAATTATGTATTGGTATGGGTAATGGAGCAGCGACATCATTTGGACGAAAAGGAAGAAAAACCAGTTGCACTAAAAATTAGAGCAGAATGGATTAATGAATGATAGTATTGATACTAAAGATGTGTTGCACAGAAAGTACTCCTATTTTTGTGAGCAATTAAAAAAGATAAAAAATATATCATCATCAATGCATACAAATGTTCTTTCATTATTCCCAAAAAGTTATTATTAATATGCATATTTTAATTCATATTTGCGTAACAGTCATTTTTAGGTTGACGTCTCAAAGGAAGGTGTTGAGGGCCAGAAGATTTTTGCCACTAATCGTAAACAACTTTGTTTAGAATATATTTAGATTCCCCATAACAGATTCAAAAATTTGTTTATTTATTTAGTAAAAAATTATACTATTGTTATATATTAATCAACTAGTGCACACCCCTCATTTTGATTGGCTAATTTCAAAACAAATAATGTGTTACGTAAATAAGCAGGCTAATGCAACACCCGCAGGTTTTTCTAACCAAAGTAAAAAGCATGCGGATAAATTTGGTGGCGTATATATATAGTAGTTTTTACTTTTTATAATATTCATAACATTTACAATTGGCAATCTTTTTTAATGAAAATAAGAACAGGCTTACCCGTGGTTTATTAATCTTGAATTTGAAAAAAAAGTTTATAATGCAAATAAAATGAATGGAATATTCTGATCCGCATGTGTATACGATGACACATGTAAATATAAACAATACACTCAATTCAAAAAATAGAAATCCATCATCTATTGACACAAAAATTTTTGTGATTCAAAAATATTTTCAATTATGGAGAGGTTTTCTCAAATTACATTGATAATATGTAAATAAAATGCGTACATCTAACGCATATAAATACACTCAATCAAATCCTTCTTAAAAGTTTTATCTTATCTTTTAATTAACGATTTGTTCAAAATGAATAATCATTCTCCAGCACCATTATTATTATTATTATTATTATCATTATTGACACTTTCGAATATTACAAATGTTTCCTCCTTACCAGCACAACCAACTATAACTAGTTGTTACGATCATGACAAAAATGGAATAAAAAGAGTTGACTGTTTATTTGTTAAAGGAGAGCCAAAATTCGTCAAAAATCAAGCTGGAGATGATAAAATGATTAAATTCAATATTACTTGTAATTTTCCAGAAAAACTAGGCTTTTGTGACAAAGTTACAAAAAACTTGGACACTACAGGGAAAATTATTTCTGATGTTATAAAATTTAGCGAACCTATCACCGTAGATATCGCTTTTAAATCACAAGATCCAACTTCATTAGGTAACAATACTAATAATAATTACAATTACAATTATTATTATTATGATTTTATAAAATTTTAACTTTCATTTATTTATTTAGGTTTCGCACAACCAACCAGATCAATTGGGTTGAAGGGTGGTGATGGAGTGGTCAGACTGTATCCACAATCATTAGTAAAGCAATTCGGACTTGCAACACATCCGGAGTTTTTACCTTCGGACATACAAGCAGAGTTTAACTCCGATCAAGAATATTGGTTTGAAGACGATGTAACTCCAATCAATCAAAATCAGACAGCATTTGTACTATTGACGACACACGAACTCATGCATGGCCTAGGATTTTTGTCATTATGGCGTCCAAGATTTTCCGCCAAAAATGTGACAGAATTGGTACCATTTCCCAATTTCATTGATGCTCCTACTCCTCCAGCAATAATATTTAATGGTTTTTTTGAGAGTATATTTGATAGGTTTTTGATAGTATCAGAAAGTGGCACAGCATTATCCAGTTTCATAGCCGAATTAAATACTTTTGCAACAATAGGCACACAATTTGACTCACTTGATGATTTTTATGCCAAGTTTAAAGCGTCTCCTCAGTATGTAAAAGCGACTGAGATGTTAAAATATAGCACAACACCTTTATCACTGGCTTTCTTAGCAAAAGGCTTGGATTTTAAAACAATTGTACCAGATAAAACTGCTAATGATTCATTGTATTATTTGGAAACCAGTATAGTACCTTACAAGGCAGGATCAAGTGGTACTCACGTGAGTCTATATTTGTATGAAAAAACGAGCGAATTCATAATGGTTTATCTGATAAATCCAGGAAGAGGAGTGAAGGATGCAATCAAAGATGGTGGCAATTATGTTGGGGGAGCAATTGGACCTAAACTTAAGTCTGTTTTTGAATCAATGGGCTACACGACTGCAGATAATCTAACTCCGGAAATCCCGACTGTGCCTGATGTGCCAGTAATTATGTAAAGAAAATTCTTGTAAACAAATTTTATTTGTTTATATAAACATTTAGATTTTTATTAAAATTAGAAATTTTTAGAGAAAATCGGGAACAAAGAATTATATAAAATTATTAACATTTAATTTTCATATTATCTCTACTGCTTTTAATCTATTTGAGATGATTATGTTTAAAAAGAAAGTTAAAGCTTTCAAAGAAACATTTCATAATTACACACCCCTACAAAAAGTATCGACTCCGCAATATAATCGAATAAACGGGTAATATAAATACTCGCTTTTTTACTAAGCAAATCGATTTTGTGCATTAGTGAGAAAATGTTTTCTGAAATGATTCCCAGTATACTCTAAAATATCACAATGGACTGATTGTTATTGATAATTTTATGATATTTAAAAGTCAAATTAAAATTTTTCGAAAAAGTAGTACTTAGTATTAGAGCTATTTTAAGATACAATGCTTTAACACATCTTGGGAACTTAGAAAATGTTGTTCCGTTTGTTCTCTAATGTATATATATATACATGTTCATAATTATTGATCGAATATTCATGGAAAATTAATACAAAACGTAAAAATAACGAAAAAATTTCATCCACAGTTTGTATAATATTTTTACATAATAAATCTTTATTAAATTTATATCAAAAGTATCAAAAAAAGGTACAAGTATTTCATTCATTTATTCAATATTTTATCAGGTTTCCTTTTGATTCAATTACAGCTTGAGCCCTTCGAGGAATGCTATCTACTGATTTTTGTAAATAATCACGATCAATATTTGCCCAATCATCCATTAAATTAGAAACCAATTCATTTGTATTTTTTTGGGGAGCAATAGTAGTTTGATCTTAAATGCTTTTATTGCACAACTGAGGATGATTGAGTACACCAGCAATGTCACGAGTGATTTCATCTACTTCCCAACGTCCAATTATCCAAAATCTGTTAATTGAGACATGATTTTTTAATTGAAATAACAAAAAAACAATTAGTTTTGGTTGTTTGCGCATCATCTTGCATAAAAAATTCATTACGATTTTTGTATTAATTCTCCACGAATATTCGATCAATAATTATGAACATGTTATATATATATACATTTGAGAACAAACGGAACAATATTTTCCAAGTTCCCAAGATGTGTTAAAGCATTGTATCTTAAAATAGTTCCAAGTGCTACTTTTTCGAAAAATTTTCGAAAAATTTTAATTTGACTTTTGAACATCATAAAATTATCAATCCATTGTGATATTTTAAAATGTTAGGGAATTATCTCAGAAACCATTTTCTCACTAATGCACAATATCGATTTACTTTGTAAAAAAACGAGTATTTGTATTATCTGTTTATTTGATTATTTTTTTGCGGAGTCGATACTTTTTGTAGGGATGTGTATCAATTGATTTTGATGAATTTATAATAATAAGAAATGATAATGTTTGGCAATATATCTATCCACTATATTACTGTACTTATTACGACCTGGTTATGACATTACGACTTATGAGAATTTGAAAATGGACGTCTAAAAATATTTATGTCATTATGACATTACAGCAAGTCAAAAGTCATAATAGTTTGGGCTGCATGTATATTAGTAGTGTATGCATAATTTGATCTAATAAAAATTAAATTTATTTTTATCAAAAAGAAAAATTTATTCGTTACTGTTATTACAATTTTTCAAAAAAAGAAATCTTCTACAGTCCGTTTTATAACTATGCAAATATGCAAATTGCAAATTGCAAATTACATATCGCAAAGGCTTGTCTCTAAACTTTTGGTAAAACTAAATTTTTGGGGAAGGATGAGAGCAAAATTGAAATACAAAACATTGTGGTGAACAAAAATTTTTTTTTTTGCCAATTAAATAACATTGTTTTATTATTTTCCGCTTAATGATGATAAACTGATTATTTTCCTAGATTATTAATAATTAACAATTATTTTTTAACAATTATTAATATAAAAATTATTAATAAAGGTGTGAAAAAAAAAATCGAAATATTGCTTATCATCACCATTGCTATTATCATTACTAGCTTCATTATTACATTGGTCTATAAAATAATAATATGTTATTTTTAAAATTAAAATAACGCGTAAAATTGATAATCAAAAAAATTTACCTTCAGTGGTCACATTACTTGGTATGCTTCATTAATGCAACCATCAGCGAATAATAATTCCAATACTGTATCATTACTTCTTGGTTCAGTACCAAACAATATGGAGTATTGTGAGTTGGTCTTGAAATAGGAGTATTCATACTATGGATTATAATTTTTAGTGCAAAACTCCAATCATCTCGATGGTTACCTTTCATCCATTTTGATAGCTTGTTTTCTAAATCCTTATTTCCATATTCTATAAGCCCCTGGATGGCGTGGTCTTCCATTAATAATTTTTGTGCCTGGTCACATCTCCACTAACTCTTTTATTACTTGAGAATTGAACTCCTTTCCATTATCTGGTTGTAATATTGTTGGAGCTCCAAAAGTTGTAAACAAGTCAAATAGATTTGCTGTGACCTCAATTGAAGATTTAGATTTCAAGGGATATCCCATGAATATCTAGTAAAATGGTCACGAGCATGAAGAATGTATTTATATTCTCCATCAGGAGACATTTCCACAAGGTCCACCTATTAATTTTTATGAATTATTTTATTAATTTTATTTTAATAAAATGAACCAAAAAAAAAAATCAATTAAATTATGAAATATACAGAACCTACCAAAAATGGCAATTCATTCTACAAAAATAGAAACTAAATTGTGGCTCAAAATTTTTGTAAAACCTACGTGACATTTATCAATGATGTGATGATTAAATTTGTGGGCTGGGGTGGCAAGAATTACGGAGTGTTTACCAACTCTAAGAATTAATTCTTATTTGTCACATAGGTTCTGTATATTACCCTTAATTTAAAATTAATTACTTGTAAGCGTAACATAAAAAGATGTTGCAATTATCAGTTTTCCAGCAACCATTAATTGTCTAACATTATTTCTGCTAGAGCAAGTAAGACACCTTTCAACAAATAATTCAATTAAGTCTTGTTTAACTCCACCCCACTTTTTTTTTAATATTACTCCAAGTTTGATTTTGACCTCCATGGTTATTTTGTAAGTGGGTCTTACAAAATACCTGGTAAAACTCCTCTTTTACTATTCATGGCTTTAAATTATCATCATTTTTTTTGGTCCAATTTTTACATATACACTTTCATTATCTCCAATTTTTTGGAGGACAAATTTGCTTCTGATATTATATCTCTGAGTAGCTGTTGCTTGATTTTTTGAGCCTTGTGATGTAGTTTTTATATCATTGTAATCAGATCTTGTTAAAATTTACAATTATTGGAGTCATTTGTCCATTGTTCTACCTACTGCTTCATTGAATAAGGATAAAGAAATGAATGTACATTCTTTAGTAGACATTTTTATATGGTAATTGATTTAGGTTTTTAATTGAATTGAAAATGTAGAAGATATATGAAGAAATAATATTCAATTATAATTAATCGATTATTAATAAAATTGATATAATTGTGTAAAGAATCAATTCATCCTTTTTATCAAATTTTTTTTTTTTTGATATAAATGACAGTAACTTGATTCATTAAATCAAGTTTATCATTATTTTTTCATTATTATTATTAAATTTTTGATCTAATGTATGTAAAGAATCAAGATTAAAGTTGTTAGCAAATCCGAAATATTTAGGCATTTGCTGAAATATTTTGAAATGCTGAAATTATTTGGTAAATGTCAATTCTACTTATTACCTTTTATTGTTATACATTTACTTACACACCTTCTGCCCTATTACTATAAAAAATTATTGATGGAAAATGTATGGAAGAATGTATAGATCTTCCAGTGAAAAAGTACGGGATGCATACAGGTTAGATATGGTATGCATATGGAATACATATTAATATAAATTACGGGATTTAAAGCATCTGGAATTTGTATTTCTCCATATGAATTATGCAATGTGTTGTGTTAATATTAAATTACATACTAGTATGGGAAAGATGAATTCTGTATTATAGTATGTTTTCCATAAATTCCAATCCAATATGCATCCTGTATGCATTGTAAATCCCGTGTGTATTTCATATCAGATATTAGTACGCATCATGGATCTATCCCATACTTTTTTTTTGGCATCAGTATGCTTTCCATAAATTCCATGTGTATTAAATATAAATTTTTGATCTAATACATGTAAAAGAATCAAGATATTATTATTATAATAACAAACTTGATCTAATGCATGTTTTGGCTTGTTATTTTTAATTAGAAACAAGTCATGATAGATTTTAACTATATTATTACTAATGGATTTTTAATCTTTAATTATCTTTATTATTAAAATCAATTCAAAATCCGGGAATTTTTTTGATCTTTTTGTTTGCATCCCTACATATTCATGTTCTAAAATTAAACACATATTATGAATATCTGTGTACAATTTTTACCTTCCTGAAAACATGGAATCTGTAATTGGTAATTCTATTTATAATAAATACGGAGATTGATTTATTATGAAAATTTAGGATATGGGACATCCTATAAAATATGGAATTCCAAGTAATATCCACATGTCTAGTCTAACAAATAACAAATAATACTATAAACAGATAAAATTATTTTACAGATTTTTTTATTTTAGAAAATTTAACATAATAAAGTATACAACTACGTAATCAACCCTATTAATCCGAAAAACCCTGTTAAACCAAAGTTGGTTCTAGAAACCAAATTTACTAAACCTAATTATAATAATACTAACAACTAATTTTGAACGGAATAACGGGTTGACTATGTGATTTGTGGTCTAGTACTAGGCCCTATAAATTATGCGTGGCAAAGTTTCTTTTTCAAAATAATAGAATTTCGATAAGGCTTTGAAAAAATCTCTGTTGATTAACCTTATATAGATTCTATACAAATATACTAGGGAATGATTATCTTCAATTTAGCACCTGTAG